TTTTATGTGATGATACTTTAACCAGGATCTGTAAGAACACAGACTCTGAGTGGAAATGTTGTCAGGTTTTTTCCCCCCACTCACATCTGTGCAGGTGACTCCAGACAGGAAGGAAGGCCAGGTAGAGTGCAACGTCTCCCACAGTGGGGTACGACTTAAAGATGGAGATCACAGCTAACTGCATGAAGATCAGGAAGACGGGATGCTCCCTGCAGCACACACACGAACACACATAATACATCATGTTGTGGTTTTACTCAGGTTTAGGTTATTAAACAGGAAAAAAAAAAACTGTGTCAACTTGGAAGGACCTTTAACGTGAGAATGAGGTGCTGGACTTACTTTAGTTTGATGGACAGAGGGATGGTGTAGAAGAAAACATTAATCTGGAAGACGCAGAGGAAGAAGAGGCGGAAATGTTCAAACATCTCGGCAAAGAAATACCAGAAGAGGCCGATGTTCGGAGTGAGGTCAGGAACCGAGAGGCTGGAGGGAGAGAAAACAGTCCCATTAGAGATGCAGACACACTTACAGAGTTTATTCTGTCTTCAAACATGACACGCACTCATTGGAACTGAACAGTGAAAATAAATAAGCTTCACAGCGCCCTCTGGTGGAGTAATTATGCAATAAAAAAGTTGGACGTTTTGCGCAAATATGGACAGTTTCTTCCTCCTGCTGATGCAACACCATGAGATATTTTCTCTTATGCATGGCAGCTCAGAGGTGCTGACAGAGGTGTGTGTCTGATGCAACGCTGATGTGCAAGCACGTTCATTACATCGCATTGCTAACAGTGATTATCCTGTGCTGCCTCCTGCAGTCTATCCAGGCAGCTGGAGAGGGTTCATCTAGTAAATTAGGCTAGATATACTTTAGAGGAGTGGTTCCTAAAGTGTGGGCTGGGTACCCCTTGTGGGCCGCTAAGGTACTGCAGCTGGACCACAGTAACAGAAATTCAGTTTGTATGTACAGTATGCATGTCATCTACATATTTATAAAAATATATTTATATAAAAGGTGAATCAAGTGGTTAGTTTGTGATATTACTCGTTACTCTGACCTAAATGTACTGCTGAAGTGTGTGACAGGTGGGTCACACACCGTCCTTAACACTTTGCACATGACTGTGTAGCATTAACAATTTAAAGCCAACAGCCTGTGTGCTTTATGTTTTTGGAGAAAATCTTTACGTAAACATGACTTTCTCTAACAATTTGTTTAGAGTGAAGATTTAAGATGAGCTCTGTGGGCGTTTGTAAGTGGGCCGCGGCACTCTTGTGTTTCTGCATGGCTGCTCTAGAGTATATCTGGGGTTTTCCACGGTTGCCATTTCTAATTTACTGTGGAGAAGATAATAACCTCATTCATCTAAATTTTTTCTGACAAAAGCCAGAAATCCTCAAATCAACAAACCAATGAACTGATCAAATCTTAAAACCTCACATGAGAATTTACTTCAACACAACAGAGACATCGGTGCTTTTATTTTATGCCAATTGATGGCTTCCAGCTCCTCTCCTGCTCTCTTGGGTGGTTCTTACTGCTGCTTTAGGTCAAGGTGCTCGACTTTGAGGAGCAGCTTGGATTTTGTCGACTCTCAGATGGCTTTAAGAGCTGGTGAGGTTTGGATTTTAGCACAGTCTACGACTGGCTGTCTGAGACATGAATAATCCTGAGTGAGGCCAAATTGACTCATTTTTAGCTTTCTTGTCTTCAGCACTTTTGCCACAAACTCAGGAACGCGTGCCTGAGAGAAACTACATGAAGACAAAGCTCCTCAGCCCCGCCGTTTCTTTTCTTTACTCACATGAAGCCGTAGACGGAGGGCAGGTAGTCCCAGGAGCCGAGCAGGAAAAAGGAAAGACAGATGAGGACAAACAAGCTGCCGAGGTACATGAAGAGATACTGCACGATGAACCACCAGAAGCTGACCCGACGGAAATTCACTGGGATGTACTGACGCTGGAAGAGCAGAGACAGGGAGGTGGATAAATCCCAGCAATGATGCTCGAAGGAACGGAAACAAACAAGCAAAGGAAAAGACAAAAGAAAAGTGAGAGCAGAGAGAAAATAAAACATTTAAAACAATGAAATATCTGCTTCCATTCATAGATGACAAACCTGCATAAAATACAGCATGGCAGGAGCGCACAAGGTGATGGGATAGATGGACTGATAAGTGGCCAAGCAGAGGAATATGGCACTCAGTAAGACATTTCCTGAAAAAACAAAGAGAAGGCAAATTTTTTAGAACCTGATAAAACCACAGCAAACTTCTAAAAAACGACATTTAAATAAAAGCAAAGTGATTCACGTTCCTCTGATGTAATTTAAAAAAAAAGCTTCAGCAGAGCCAACGAATGGGATCAGCAGGAAACAGTCACTTCCTGCTCGGACACAAACACGAGACAAAGATCTGAAGTGTACCTTTTATTGTGGAGAGGAAGAAGAGGGCGAGCACGGCGTTGTTCAGGCCACAGGTCGACTTGGCGACACAGGATAAGATGGTGAACGGGTTCAGCAGGTAACTGCGAAAAGAAGCAACGAACAATTATTAGTAACTAAATAAGTAAACAAACTGAAAACAAACAGGAGAATTTTCAGGAGATACAGTGCGTTGTCCGTTTTCCCTGGATTTTCTCAAATTTAACCTCAGAGCGAAGAAGGTGAAGCGTTCTCCTCCACAAGGTGATACTGAAATTTTATCAATCGTCTGGATGAAGCTTTTCCTCACAGCTATTTACAACATTCACAACTTGAGAGGCTAAAACGTGATTCTTATCAACTGGAAATGATCATTATTTTATAATCTAGTCATTGTTACGTCCTCTGCGGCCCCTAATCTCCTCAGTAAGTTCAGCTGGTGCTAATTGACCACACTTAGTCCGGTGTGGATGAAAGCATACCTGCAGCAGGCTTTTAGGGAGGCTCACTAGTCTTTGCCTGGGTGGTAGCAGCCACTTTAGCCAAGATAAACCTCTTTCTCACTGACATTCTGGTGTTCGTCTCCTTATTTATGTTTTGGCTTTTGAGTTGGGACATAAGTGGGGGCTCATCCGGGATCGTTTGCACATTTTTGTGGAGACTGAATTTTAGTGTTTTGTGGGTGAGTGATGGTGTTCACTGTAATTGAGCAAGATTATATGAATTCATTTTAGACCCCGAATTCAATTCAGTTTTATTTATACAGCATCGAATCACAACAACAGTCGCCTCAAGAATAAATAATAAACTTCGCAGCTGGAAGAGCCCGAGTGGTGACACCTTTGTTATTCTGGGTAAGAAGATGAAATTTAAGAAGCTGAATCTGGCAGGACAGAATTTCTATTTGGTGCGACTTGTGTGCCGTATGAGTGACGGTACTTACAACATGGCTACTTTCAGAGGGACGTAGTACATTTCTTTGGGGCTTCTGATGAGCTCCAGAGAGTCCATGGGGTATCGGTCGGCCTCCAAAGCAAACTTCTGCTTTCTGAACTGAAACGGCATCAAAGACAAATATATGAAAAAGAAACAGATGCAGACACACAAAGCCCCAAACACAAAGGTCTCACACAGAATACGTCAGCTGAAGTTACTCCTGTTCATTATTAGAGACGGGGTTTGGGAGTTTAGGCCAACCCTACTTCTCTACACATAAGTATTTAAACTGTGTATTTTGATGTGTTCTCACCACTTGTTTGTTGTACTCCTTCACTGCCATGTAAAGAGCCACAGCGGTGATCACGTCGGCCAGCTGAGGAGACAGAAACGGTAAAATGAAGTATGCCTGATTTAACATTTGCTGCATTTCCACTTCAAGGTCATCTCACTCTGATGTCTGCTATTTTCAAGAAGCTCTGAGGGAAATCTGTTCTGACCCTTGTGCCTGGTCCTCTGTGATAAGAGCTGGGTGTCCTCCACTGTGCCCTCCACCCCAAAATCTCTATTTTATGGAAAGTAGCGAGGAGGTTAATGTGGTGAACACGGCTCATGATAAGTGAAGATCGTATTAGTGTGGCCATGAAGCTCTTGTTTTCTTGGTGAGAGTGGAGACACTCTACTTCAGGGCTGAATCTGGTCTCTCAGATGTTACTGGGAATCACATTAAACCTTTGCATTAACGATGAATCCTGGTTTATGAATTCATGTATAATGCTGTGGGCATCGAACATCGAGCACGCTCCTGGTGTCTCTGCTGATGCCTTTGGACTTTAAAACTGTGGATTGACACTGAAACCTGCCGTTCAGGTTCTGGGTTGTGCTCAGAGAACCAGCTCTCATCAACATCAGCCTCAAAAAGGTTTGAGGTTTGTGTGTGGCTTTACAATCAATTTGATCACACTTCAGAGTTTAATCTCCTTCTTCTTTAGGGGTTGTCACAATCATCTGCCTCCATGTCACCCGATCACTAACATCCTCCTTCACTACATCTATGAATCTTCTCTGTGGCCTTCCTCTTTTCCTCCCACCTGGCAGCTCTTGGCCAAGACCCATATTCCCTATCCATCCTCTGCACAAGTCCGCTCCACCTCAGCCGTCCCTCTCCAGTAATGAGACTGCCCCCAAAGAAAAAAATGCTTCAAAATGATGTTTTGTATTCAGACTCACCATAAATGTGATCTCTGCGTAGTCCACCAAAAAGTGAAACATGTAGATGATGAGAGGAGTCTGAAAGGATCAGAGCAGAAGGAGAATTCAACATGAACATCTAAACATCAACATGCCTCATTTGTGGATTTCAGACACATTAAATAATTTTCTGCTGACTCAGATCTCAGTTGTAGAAATACACCACCTATGAGGTGCAAGCATGTCATGGAAAAATCAAGAACCAGGAACAAATGAAACATCCCAGCACGTCTATATAATTAAATAAGACATTTATTGTCCGTTTTCCACCAACACGGCACCTGGAAATGCATGGAACTGGTTTCAGAGTGAGCACCAGCACTTTGTTGGTGTGAATGTGACATTCGAGAGGTGGTTTACAGATGCTACTCATCCTTTGAGTCTACAAACAGGCAGCTGATTGATTCTTGTGATCTTGATATAATACATTTTGTGTTTGTTGATTATCTGTGAACAAAGTTTGATGTGCTCACCCTACCCTGCTCTGGATGTTTTAGAGTATCTATTTAATCTCTTAGAAACCTTTGGTCCAGCCATGGCCTGACTGTGAGGAGGCCCCTCCTCACTCAGAAGATCTGACTCTGACACTCTCACTTTGTTCTGATGATGAAGTTCTTGCTATTACACAGCTGCTTAGCAAGCAAAGTTTCCACCTGGGTGTTATCTGAATGCTGCTTCAGTGGAAATCTGACCTTTTGTAGAAAGAAGTTTCTAGAAATGTTGCCTGTGTCTCTAATCCCCTCCACTGTGATGCTTCACCAAGAAATAAGGAGAATCTAGAATGTTTCATCTTTGTTTTCCAGACCATCTCCTTCATATTTTCAGGTTAGTGTACAAATATACATTCAGTGTTCACTCAGACTTTGTAAAAGGTGTTTGTGTGAGAGAGAGATTCACCTCGTGGAAAACATCTCCAGAATATGGTGAAACTCCCAAATCAAGCAGAGCCAAACCTTCAACAACTGCAAAGAAACAGCAAACAGAGAAACAGTTTCATTAAAACTGCTATATTACAATAAAAATCACAACCACAATTATTTTGGTCACTGTGGAAAATGTTTAGTTTTGCATTTATGGAACTTCAACTTGGTGAATTTGGTCTGAAATTTCGAGAGTGAAGTGACATTTTAAACTAATTTTTCTCTATTCCACTATCGTTAGAAGCCAAAATCATAAATTCTGTTAAAATCTCCAACTTTTAATCTTTTTTATTAGCACTGGGCTGTTGTCTTTGAATGCACGAATGAAAAATGCACGAAGTGTTTCTGTGCGAGTCTCACAGCACGTTGGTCATGTTTTGTGTTTTACAGAAAAACCTCAGATTGACTGCAAACCTGCACCTCAGGCTCCTGTCAGGTACCGTGTCATAATATGCTAAATGCAAACTTAAACACAGTCCACTAATATTTCACAAATTCATCTAAAACAAAATCTTTGTCTGTGGTAACTAATGGAAAGCTGATACAAATTTGTCAAATAATAAAGTCAAATCAGTGAGTGCCTCCCACTGTGAACCAGTTGATTTTTTTTGTACATTAATTATTCTCAGATATTTACTGGCCATCGAAGCACATGGGGCAGGGGTATGTGCATTTTCTCCATCACTTTTGAGCCCTCATAAATCAATGATTACAGAAGAGGTAGTCAGTTGGTAAGGTGCAATTAAACAAATATTCATGGGGGTGTATGTATATATTTCAGTCTGTTGTATACTTTTGTCCAAATTAGGGTGTCTGCACGGTGGTGCAATTGTTAGCACCATCACCTCACAGCAAGCAGGTCCTGAAGGCAGGGGGACATGTGCCTGTTAGGCTAAGTAGTGATTTTAAATTGGCTGTAGCTGTGGAAATTAATTTTTAAACACTTGCTGATGTAACATTATACACACACTATACACGTCAGCCAGATGTTGTACAGGTGTAACGTCTACTTTACTATGCGCAAATAACCCCGTGGAAACTAATGTGGGTCATAGGAGGGGGGTCATTTACAGGGGGTCCACAAATACTAGAGACTGTGCAGATCTTTGTTCAGCCGCTGGCAGAGACTCTGGTCGTCATTATTATTGGTGGCCGATGGATGTTTGACAGCGAAACAACCACTGAGCTCCATTCATTGGAAATAGCAAAGAAACACTTGTTTAAATCTTCCGCTACAGAAAGTAAAACGTGTCCGTTGTTAGCTTAATGTCAGTAAAACATCACCTAACTTTCTGAATTTGAGTCTAAGCTGCTGATTTTTGCAGCTGAACCGGTTTGACCGAGTTACCGGATAACAGCGCGGATGAGAGAGAGGTGAGGGGACCCGGACGTGAACGGAACGCAGCGGCTCTAAACCGCTGAACCCGCGCTTACCTCTCTTCCAGGCGGTTATCGGCGACACCACCTCCACCCTCTCTGCAATCAGCTCCGCCAAACTGGACCGGAACAAAGCGGCACGGATCGTAACGGCCACAATCAACAGCAGAGTCAAGGGAGCCGCCATCTTGACAAGGAAGCGCTGTCCGCCCTGCGAGGTGCACGACGGGAAATCAAGTCTCCAAACGTGAAGGAAGGTGGGAGGGAACCAAAAGTCCAGATAGATAGATATATAGATAGATAATTTTTGGTGCATGTGATATCTTTTTACACGTTTGCTTGATGTCAACTGATGATTCATTTTACATTTGAAACACACTCTCACAAACAGAGTAAGCACACAAAGCGGAACACTTATTGCCCTATAGTTGTTTTCATCCGGAGGCTATTTGAATGGGATCAAAACAAAAAGCCGTACACAGTGAACCACTGCGCTTCCGCTAACCCTGCGTTTTTTTTATCAAAACAAAATTGACTCGGTTTAAAAATATAAATTTACTTTTTTCCTGATCAAGTTGGGATCATTAAAATAGGTTCACACAAATAATACAATAACAAGCATAAAATGCCGTCTGAAAATTAATCAACTGACATTTTAGATTTTTTTTTAAATTATCGCTTGTGTTTTTGATGCGTACATATCTTTATTCTTTAGATCAGGGGTCTTAAAGCTGTAGGCCACTGCTGGCATTGTCATCTTATTGGAGAGCACTTTAGTGTTCTAGGAGTACAAAAGCAAGCAAACAAGAAAACACACAAATAAATAAATAAATAAATAAATAAATAAATAAATAAATAAATAACTTCAAGGGTCAAATTGTACTATATTTCTTCATGTCAATATACACGCCCCAAGTAGGGGTGACGTGGGCTGCAAGTGGCCCCCGGCCTGCGAGTTTGAGGCCCCTGTTTTAAATTAACAGTTATACAGAGATATGAGCTCTTTTAAGATGCAATGAATTGAAGTAGGGCCGATTTCAACATTATTATATTTAACCCAAACAAAATAAAACCCAGGTATGAGAAAAATATTTTAGTTTGGTGCATTGGTGCACATGTTTTGTAAGGATGAAAAACGCAACACTTCATGCCTACATGACATGAAGAGTTGAGTTTGTATTTTAATACTTCGTCTAAATTTCCCCCTTACAAATACACTCACATTATAGTAAAAGTAACCAAGAAACTAAGAAAAACCGAACTGAAATAAGAAAACCTAATCTGAGAGTGAATCAAAATGAAACTTAATTGAAGCTAAAAATACTAAATGAAATAGAAATAAAGCTTAATGAAAAAAGGTCATTACGTCACATAATATCACTGGATATTTGCAGATATGTACCGTTCGGTCAGCTCTCTGGTGCTTTTAAACTGAAAAGCCGGGAAGCGGAAA